CCAACCTAGAATTCCTTGCACTCTTTATTTCGCTCTGCATGTTCGTAAATCACAATCTCATCTACAGTCTCAGAACCATAGATCCATTTAATCCAGATCATACTATGGTTGGAAATTATCGTCATCGTATCCATGGTAAAGGAAAAGTCCGCATTCCGAAAGGAATGAGGTTTATGAGAACTTTCCAGCCTTTATTCAATCTCTGTTCAATTTCTATCTCTCTCATTTATCTGTTTAGTTCCGAAAGCAATCCTTCGAAGAAGCGCCATCGAGCTGCTGCTGAAGCAGCTCGTAATGCTAGTCTCTCCACCGAGCCTTTAATAGCTGTCGACGATCGACCTTTTGATAAAGCAGCGGACTTCATTCTCGCTGATAATCTTGTAAGCTATTCGGTTTGCAAATTTTGAACTACGTTCTCAATTTTTGCATGTTTTATCTATTTATCTATTTATCATATTGCTAGGAATCAATGCAAATTGGTCACGGGAATGAATTATCTAGTAAAAGCATGGTTTCTGAAGGAGGTGTTTCGAGGATCTCTCAATTCACAAATTGTACCAATCCAAACTTTGACTCTGTGCATCGTGTCTGGAAGTTAGTCTTTTCCACATTTGCTCGCTTTATTTCTTTTTGCATACTGTTATGTCAAAACGAGCGAGGCCGACAAGTTCTCTTGTTCAGGTCTGGATCCTCCATGCAAAAGGAGGTTGTCTCGGTTTTGGCTGCAGTTGCAGAATTAATCAAAGAGCGTAATGGTAGGTTTCATAAGCGTTTACGTACTTCAAAAGAAATTGACATACTAAGTGCTGCTGTAGTAAGAAGCTTGGACCGGCAAATAAGGGTGTTTTTTAAAATGTGGTCACTACTTGTCATTAGTAACTCTTTCATTAGAAATCTCTTTGGGCCCTTAATTATGCGAATAGAAGTGTAGCCTTCAACTTGGTCGCACTAAGAAAGAATCTAGTACTTCTCTCTATTGCCCTGGGATTACGTTACGAATTTGTATATGACATTAGCGCTGGCGTAAAGACACTATTGGCATTGGCCTA